ACACCTTGAATTGTATCCAGACACTTTTACAGGTGTGGGTTTGATATTTCAATATTTCTCTAAGCTTTAAAATGAGCTGAGTCAAATTTGGAGCGGTTTTAACTGAAGGCTCTTGTTTGTTCTAGAAATACTAGAACCAACCCTAAGAAACAAGGATTGTATATGTTGACAGCATATTGTAGTTGCTATATGTCTGTTTTATGCTAAAATCCCAGGAGATTTATTTAATCAAAACTTGCCGCAGCCTCTATGAAAATGTATTTCCTGCCACTCAGAAGTGCAGCTTGCTATCTTGTTAAATCTCTTCCCTGCTCTAATTTCTCTCTTCCTGCCATTCTCCATTTACAACACCAGGCAAGTGAGTCTCTTTTGTTGGCCAGATTGATTGTAGAAATAACTCCTCACTATACCAAGGTTTGCTAGCTGCTTTATTTAAAAAAATCAGAACTCGCCTGGCTATTATAGTCCTTTGTTCTCGCCAGGTGGAGAGCCTGAAAAATGCTTTTCGTTGTCATGTTTCAAAAGCGGCGGCCAGAACAGATAAAATATCACCTCTCGCTGGAAGTCACATCTGATGCTCTTAATTACACACTTTAGAGAGTTTTTTTTACTTCCAGATCAGAGGTGGCATTCAGCAGGTTCTGACCAGTTCTGGAGAACCAGTAGTGGAAATTTTGAGTAGTTTGGACAATCGGCAAATCCCACCTCTGACTGGCCCCACCTCCGTCTATTCTCTGCCTCCTGAGTCCCAACTGATTGGCTGGGTCTCCTTTGGTTGCCCTGCACAGGAGAACGGAGCTGGAAAGCAGGTTAGTGGGGTGGGGAGGGAATGGAGACTTTGCAGTATCCTTCCCCTGCCACGCCCAACAAGCCACACCCACAACACCCTGCCCACCAAGCCACACCCACCAAGCCATGCCACGCCCCCCAAGCCATACCCACAGAACCAGTAGTAAAAGTTTTTGAATCTCACCACTGTGTCCAGATGTTACATACAGTTGCTGCCATTTGGGCACCCACGACCCCAAAAGGGATCTAAAGGAGACCTTTCGTCTCCATAACAACTTGGAGAACATGAATAATTCAGCTGGCTTTAAAAGGACTTGTTTATTCATGGGCGGTCTTAATTACAGCAAAAGAGAAATTCCAAATGACAGCAACAGTTGCTTGTCTTATTGCCTATTTGGGATGGAAACCTGATTGTTGTTGCTTTTCTCGGAAAACATCGGCTTAAACAAGAAGCAGGCTGTGGAGTTTAAAAATCAGGGAGAGGCAAGACTGACAGCAAGGGATACAGTGGCTCCGTGTCTAAGACACTGAGCTTGTCAATCAGAATGGTCAGCGGTTCGGCGGTTCAAATCCCTAGCGCCGTGTAATGGAGTGAGCTCCCATTACTTGTCCCAGCTTTTGCCAACCTAGCAGTTCAAAAGCATGTAAAAAAATGCAGATAGAAAAATAGGGACCATTTTGGTGGGAAGGTAACAGCGTTCTGTGCTCCTTTGGCTTTTAGTCATGCCGGCCACACGACCATGGAGACGTCTTTGGACAGCGCTGGCTCTTCTTCGGCTTTGTCACTGAGATGAGCACCGCCCCTAGAGCCAGAAATGTCTAGCATGTATGTGCAAGGGGAACCTTTACCTTGACTTTAAGACCTACGACCCTGCTCCTTCTGCGATGATTTCAAGAAACAGCCTTATAATCCCAATTTTCAAGTTTAATCTGTGTCATTTCTACATACATCTGAGGGTGATTGTGGTTGAGTTGCTCTGGGGTAAGATGAGTGGCCAATAAGTTTAATAATAGATAGATAGATAGATAGATAGATAGATAGATAGATAGATAGATAGATAGATAGATAATGGATTGATGGATGGATTGATTGATAGGTAGATAGATAGATAGATAGATAGATAGATAGATAATGGGTGGATGGATTGATAGGTAAAAAGATAGATAGATAGATAGATAATGGGTGGATGGATTGATAGGTAAAAAGATAGATAGATAGATAGATAGATAGATAGATAGATAGATAGATAGATAGATGATAGATAGATAGATAGATAGATAGATAGATAGATAGATAGATAGATACATACATACATACATACATGGATGGATAGGTAGGTAGGTAGGTAGGTAGGTAGGTAGTTAATAATGTCTCACTTCACAACAGAAATATTGGACTCAATTGTGGTCATAAATCAAGGACTACCTGTACACCTAGTTTTCGTTCCTCAGGAAAAGATATTAAAAAAAAAAAAGACAGATACTTAGAGGCTTCATTTCTTCTCCTGAAGGGAGGTTGCAAATCCAGGCTGGATTTCATTAGCGAGTGTTCCTATTATTTGTACACAGGGATATTTACATAAATCTCATCTGCCTTGCCCGGTGTATGGATTGCCAGCTGGAGTTTGCATAGCACCATCCTGTGTTTCCCTGAAATTGCTTTCTTGTGTTTTGTTAAGAGGGTTGGTGAAAGAACCCTTCCTCTAGGGGAAAGCTGTTATCTAAGCTTTTCATTTCTGAGCAATCTTGGTTGGGAAGTGGAATCTCATAACTCAACAAACAAGCACCTAGCTCGGGTGAGAGCAGTAATTTATCAGAGGCACTCGAAGCCTCGTTTCAGACTAAGCAAACAAATAATACAGAGCCAGACAATCAAGACCAGGTTGGCTGGGAGCTCTTTGGTTTTCTCGGAGTTGTTTGTCAGGAGGTGAATGGGAGAAAAGGGGGAGAACGTCAGGAAGCCTATTGGAGAAAGAGGACGCTTTGTATGGGAAAAAGGACAGTTTTGATCTGGTGTTTTTTGAGTGGAAATGGAGAGAGAAAGAAAGAAAGAGAGAGAGAGAGAGAGAGAGAGAGAGAGAGAGAGAGAGAGAGAGAGAGAGAGAGAGAGAGAGAGAGAGAGAGAGAGAGAGGAACCGCAAAAAGCAAAGCGGTGCAATCAATGACATATTAATTTGCTTTGACAAGAAGGAAGGAAGGAGGGGGGGAGGGAGGGAGGGAAGAAATAAAGAGAGGGGGGAAGGTAGGGGAGAAATGGAAGGAGGGAGAGAATATAGAGAGAAAGACAGAAGGAAGGGAGGGGGGGATGGAGAAAGGGAAGGAAGAAGAGGAAGGGAGGGACGGAAGGAAAGAGGAGGGAGGAGGGAAGGGAAGAAATAGAGAGAGGGAGGAAGGAAGGGAAGAAATGGAAGGATGGAAAGAAGAGAGAGAGAAAGACAGAAGGAAGGGAGGAAGAGAGGAAGGGAGAGAGGAAGGAAAGGAAGAAATGAAGGAAGGGAAGGAGGAAGGGAGGAAAGAAGGAAGAACAGAAGACCTAGAAAACCTAGAACTACGCCGCCTTTGGTCCAATCTAAGTATAGTATATAAAATTATACATTGCAATGTCCTACCTGTCAATGACTACTTCAGCTTCAACCATAACAATACAAGAGCACACAATAGATACAAACTCAAGGTTAATCGCAGCAAACTTGATTGCAGGAAATAGGACTTCAGCAACAGAGTGGCCAATGTCTGGAATACTCTACCTGACTCTGTGGTTTTTTCCCCAAACCCCCAAAACTTTAACCTTAGACTGTCTACTATTGACCTCACCCCTTTCCTAAGAGGTCTGTAGGGGGCGTGCATAAGCGCATCAATGTGCCTGTCCTATTGTTTCTTTTATTTTTCTGATATATATCCATGTATTCATAACTATGTTTTTACTTATACCTATTATCTTGTAAGCAATTGACAAACCAAATAAAATAAAAAATAAAATAAAAAATAAAAAGGAGGGAGGAAAGAAGGAAGGGAGGGAGGAACAGAAGGAGAAGGAGGGAGGGGGTTACCCTAGTTGGGTAACGGGTAATGAAACATCTGCAAGAAAACAACCAAACTCAGAGAGCACCAAGGACTCTGCAGTTCAACTCTGAGCTACGTTCTCTTCTAATCTGAGACCTGCTTGGTGTGTAGAGAGCAGATACTATCTAAGACAAGTTGACAATGATGAACTGCTGAGACCCTCCCGACATACTGGTCTCAAGGTGGATTTGAAGTTCCCAAGAGGTTTTGGGCCCTTCAGCAACACCTTTGAAACCAGTTCTGCTGCAAAGTCAGGGGGATGCTGTTGGGCAGAAGGATACTCCAGAACATTAACAGGGTTTTCCATCTGTCCTGGTGCCCCAGGTCCAGGCCCTTAGTCTGTCTCTCACTTTAGCTTGGCCATGAGAATGGAAACCTGTGCAACTTCCAGCCCTGACCTCCTTTTATGTCTAAGCTCTTGAACAAGAAACCTAGTGAGACAATGACATCACCCGACTTGCCTAGCCAGCTCTCCTTCATTCTGTCTAAGTTGGCATCTTCATTGCAAATCGAATCTCCAGAAATGGGCTGTTATTCATAACCCACCTGAAATATTAGAAGACAGAGGCAGGCCAGAGGATTGCTTGAAATCACCTTCTTTTAATGACCCCGTAATCCCTTGCAGGGTGGAGTCTGGGCAACTGAATGGAACTGGGTGTTTACTGGCTGGATGCCTTTCCTGTTGCCAATGGGGAGTTTTGTTCAGCAGATACATTCTTATTGTGCCCAGAGAGAGAAATATCTGCCTCTACCTAGGATCAAACTCACAACCTCCTGATTGTGAGGAGACAGCTCTGCTTCTAGGCCACTGCACCGCTTGGAGTATTGCTTAAAATACCCACCGTTAAATGCTTTCTTTTCCTTGGAGACTCAGCCTAAGGGAGAGGAAATTGCTCTTCACGATGCACTAACGGCTGACCCTAAATACACACAGCTGTGGAAAAGAGCATGCAAATGCGGCAAACGTCCTTGGCTGTGTAATATTTACGTTGCCAACAACAGCCCTAAATAAAATCTCAGCAACGTTGCAAACTCTTCTGAACAAAAAGGCTTCAGCAATGGATCCTGCGCTATGGAAATGCTGTCTGTCTCACTGAAGCTCTGGTGGCTTCTCACCAGCTTCTGTTTCACACACCCGTGGAGGAGCAATGTCGGTGTCAGGAGTTCACAACTGGCTCTGCCTCCTTATCATCACAGTTGTGACTCTCGTGGGGATGACTGCAAACGGATTCATCTTTATTTCGGACTGCCGTGATTGGATCCAAAGCAAAACACACTCAGGTTCGGACCTCCTGTTGATGTCCCTCAGCCTAACCCGGTTTATTTTCCTTGGAATCACGCTCAGCTTACATTGTATTAACTTCCTGGATATTAATCAACCCAAATACGCCGGAAACGTCACCGTTTTCTTCTGGACCTTTTTCAATGCCGCCACTCTGTGGATTACCACCTGCCTGGGAGTCTTCTACTGTGTGAAAATTGTCAACTTCACCCAGCCTATCCTCATGAAAATGAAGCTGAGGATTTCCAACGTGGTTCCCCATCTGCTCGTTGTGGTGATGCTGGTTTCCTTGATCTCGGCTCTTCCTTTCCTCTGGATTGAGGATCACCCCCAATCTTATAACAACACAGAGCGTAGACATGAGGTGACGGCCCAGATGTTCCTCTTTGGTATGCTGTACATTCTAGGGACTTTGCCATCTTTTGTCATATTTTTCATTTCCTCTGTTTTTTTAATCTACTCCCTTGTGCACCACGTGAAGAGGATGCAGAACAACTCACTTGGCTTTCGAGATCAAAGGATGGACGTTCATCCGAAGACCATTAAAATCCTGACCTCCTTCCTCATCTTATATGCCGCAACCTTTGTGGCGGAAGTCTCAATGACCTTTTCCCCCAGCCCCTGGGCAGCGGTTGTTTCCATAACAGTGGTTAGTTCATATAATTCAGGACACACTGTCGCTTTGATTGTCATGAATTCCAAACTAAGGGAACGATTAAGCAAGATGTTCTGGTGTCTGAGAAAACAGACATGAAGGACTGAAGGCCCAGACTGAAATCATGCTTAAATCTTAAATCATGCACAGAGCTGAAGAAGCTTCTTGGAGGAGAAGTGAAATAACTTCAAATAAAAGCCAAGAAAGTCCATTTGCCTCTTGAAAAACCTTTGGGATAACCATGACTTGGAACGACTGAGAATCACCATAGACATTCTTGCTCAAACAATTGCACTGATGATGTTACCTAGCAATGACAATGATGATGACTTTGGGTCTATGGTGCTCCCTGAGCTGATCTTGGGGGTTTTTCTTGCAGACCTTTCATGACCCAACTAGGTAACATCATCACTAGAAGTCTCACTCCCTTCTAGCACTGATGATATTACTTAGCTGGGTCATGAAACATCAACCAAGGTGAGAGCAACATAGATCAACCAGGAGCTACAAAGATTCTCTTCCACCAAGGTTGGACATCTCTGGACTAGATAATCTGTTCCAGTTCTAGAGTTTCAGGTGGGATTTCTCCCAAACTTCCCTGGAACAGGATCACCAAATTCACCATTAGGACTGACTTCCCCATGTTTACAGTTTACAGTCTGCAAGAAAACAACCTAGTTCAGAGAGCAACAAAGACCTCACAGCTTATGGATGGAATTAACATTAATGACAACTCAAGACCCGCTAATTCTGTTGGATCTACTCAATGGTGGCTCACTATGAACTCAAGTTGATGCCATTTTTCCAGCCCAAGGTTTCAAATGGGACTAGTGGGTTTGGAACAGTGTGTAAAACATTGTCTTAGCCCATACCAGCTCTTGTTCTGATTCACGCAAAATCCGTTGAGTGTGTTTTGCCTTGAAGTTAAATTTTTCCCAATAGATTTTAGGCATAGCTATCATTCTTCAGTAGAAGCTCCTAGCTAGTAGAGCAGTTCTTCTTAGAAATTAAATTGATCCCCATTGTCCTGGAATGATATTGAGTGATGGGATCGTCAGTTTGATTGATTTCATGGTGATTGTGGTTTTTAGAACTTTATACTTCATTCCGAATATGAGTGTTTTATTTTAAACGCTTGTGTTGCTCATAATTAGACACTGAGAGTTTATGATATCTACCTGAACATGAATGTTTTTCTCTCTCTTTTCTGTCTCTCCATTTTTATTTATCTGTCTGTCTGTCTGTCTGTCTGTCTGTCTGTCTGTCTATCCATCTATCCATCCATCCATCCATCCATCATCTATCTATCTATCTATCTATCTATCTATCTATCTATCTATCTATCTATCTATCTATCTATCTATCTATCTATCTATCTATCCCATCCATCCATCCATCCATCCATCCATCCATCCATCCATCCAGCCAGCCAGCCAGCCAGCCAGCCAGCCATCCAGCCAGCCAGATAGCCAGATAGCCAGCGAGCTAGCTAGCTATCATTTATGTACCTCTTTCTCTCTCTCTCTCTCTCTCTTTCTCTGGCACACACATAAAATCTTCCTCTGTATCATAAACTCTCAGTGGCTAATTATGAGCAACAGAAACATTGAAAATAAAATATTCATCTATGGAATTAAATACAAAGTTCATGGATGGCTGGATAGCTGAATGGCTGGATGGATATACAGAGATAATAGAGATTTTAATGCTGGTTGCATTGAACTGAGGAGAAGATAAACTGGTTGGTTGCATCTCTTTGCATGTTCTTTTTCTTTAGAGTTAAGGTCCTTCATATTTTTATTTACACATTTAAATTCTTATTCTTGTTAAATTCTTATAGTTGAAACTGAGTGAGAATCCCATGCTACCTTGTAACTCTTCTTCCCTGGTTTTCTGCATCTTCCTTTCATCTAGTGTGCTGAATTAGGAACCCTTCTTCTCCAAGTATTGCTGGTAGGGTAACAGTCAGCCTTCCCGGTTTTTGATTTTTGGGCCAATCACCAGGAGACTTTGAGACCTAGTCCCACCTTAGGCATGAAAACCATCTGGGTGACTTTGGGCCAGTGGTGGGATTCAATTTTTTTTACTAACGGTTCTGTGGGCGTGGCTTGGTGGGCATGGCAGGGAAAGGATACTGCAAAATCTCCATTCGCTCCCCACCCCACGAACCTGCTTTCCAGCTCCATTCTCCTGTGCAGGGCAACCAAAGAAGACCCAGCCAATCAGCTGGGACTTGGGAGGCGGAGAATAGATGGGGGCGGGGCCAGTCAGAGGTGGGATTTGCCAGTTCTCCCAACTACTCAAAATGTCCGCTACCGGTTCTCCAGAACTGCTCAAAACCTGCTGAATCCCACCTCTGGGCCAGCCCCTCTCTCTCAGCCCAGCCCACCTCACAGGGTTGTTGTTGTGGGGGGAAATAGGAAGAGAAAGGATTATTAGACATGCTCACCACCTTGAGTTGTTTATACAAATAATAAAAGCAGGAAAAAATAGTAAAATAAAACATAAAAATAATAAAATAAATAAAATAAAATAAATGACTTTTCTTCTTATTCAGCACATCTCTCTGGTACCCAAATGCCTTAGGTGTTTTTTTTTCACTTGGAGGAAGTACTAAGGACTGCCTGTGTCTTCATTTCAACATTGTTGTTTTCAGTTTTACAATCTCTTTAGTGTTTTTTTTTAACTGTAATATTTATTTATTTTTAATTGTAAGCCACCCAGAGTCATAGGTTGAGTTGGGCAGCTATAGAAATCAAATACGTAAATAAATAAAGGACAGTTGAAATGAAATTCTGAAGTCCTTGTCTGTCCTGTTCCATCAGATTCCGCAAACACGGAAGACAAGCGGAATACATCATGGCTTATGTGGGATGTAATCGTACATGAGCATCGACAATGGGTCATCTACGGTGACCACCATCCTTTCATGGCTAAGGCAGGACAAGAACTGTGGCCTCCACTCTGCCACCACACTCCTCCCAGTTGTGTCCCAGGTCTTTTTAAATTTTTTATTAATGACTTGGATGCCGAGATGGGAAGGACTGTTATCAAATCTTCAAATTTGATAGCCAGAGCCTCGGAGGACAGAAATACAATTGAAAATGATGTTGATAGATTAGAACAATGGACTAAAAGCAGCAGAATGAAATTTAACAGAGGGAAATGTAAAGCTGTAAACGGGGGCTGTATAAATCAAACGCATAAATATAGGACGGGGAAACATTTGGCTCTGTCATAGCAAGTGTGGAAAATGCCCTGGGACAGTGGCTCGGATCACGGATTGAATTTGAATCAGCAGAGTGAAGTGATTTGCATAAAGAAGGAAGAAAAGAGAAAGGAAGGAAGGAGAAGGAAAGGAAGGGAAGGAAAAGGGAAGGGGGCAGGGAAGGAGGGGAAGGGAAGGGGAAGGGAAGGAAGGAAAAGGAAGGAAGGGGAAGGGGAGGGAAGCAGAGGAGGGAAGGAGAAAGGAAGGGGAAGGAAAGAGAAGAGAAAGAGAAGGAAGGAAGGGGAAGGGGATGGGAAGGAAGGGAAGGGAAGGAGGGAGGGAGGG